ACAGAAGGGGTAGACAGTTAAGGCTGCCCCCGGGGCGGGGGGGGGGCGGTTCGATCCAGCCCCAGGCCCGCTTTACCCCCAACATCAGGCTCAGGCTCCAAAGGATAATTTTATACAAAAAGAAATTGGCTTTTCCATTTCCATTTAAACAACAAAGGCGTGTGCATCCCTGAGACGGGTGGTAGGTCACTTCCCTCCCCAACCTGTGCAGTCTGAGTCTCGGTTTGAGGAGGGAGCGCTGGGTCGGAGATCCCTGAGTGGGGGAGCCCTCCTCTAATGAGGAAGGGCTCCCTGAGGCCAGAGGGGTAAGAGGCTGTGGTCACAGCCACAGGAGCCCGGAGAAGAGCGGAAAGAGGAGGAGGGACAGGGGGAGGCCGGGCCTGGGCCTTGGGGCAGCCTCCCCATGGGCGGGGCCCGAGCAGGTGCCGGGAACCTCCGAGGCTGGGGGTGGGGAGAAGAGAGGGGTTATAGCTGGCGGGCTTCCACTCCCCTCGCTCCCTCTCTCCCCTCTCCTCCCATCTCCGGCCCACTGGCCCTTGCGTACCGGTGGCGCTGAGCAATTTGGGCAGGAAGCGGTTCCAGAAGGCGCAGGTCTGAGCGCGCAGACCCCGACGCACCTCCAGCGGACGCAGGTTAAGGCTCACATACTGCTGTGCTCCAGGCGTGTACGGCGGCCACTGCGGGGCCTTGGGGTCGCGGGGATCATTGGGGTCTCTGCGGAAGGAGAGGGAAAACTTAGTCCTTGGCAGGCCTGTCCAGCTCAGAGAAATGAGGGTGGGAATGGGGAGCGAAGAGGGAGAGTGGTAGGGATCCATTTCCTGACCTTGGGCCCTCTTAAACTCTCTGAAGAGCTCTATGCCCCCCTTCCTGTTCCTGCTCCAGCACCTCTACCCAGTCTTCCTCATCCTCTTCTTTAGCTGGCTGCCTTTGCCCCTCTTTCCTCTCTTCCTCAGTTTTTCTGTTCCATCTTTGCCTTGTTTCTCCCATTAAGAAAATTGCTAGGATTTACTGAGCCCCCCCTTTGTAACCCAGCCCAGCCCTAACATGAAGTTTACTTTTGACAATCTCCATCTATTGCTGGATTTACTGTCTTATTCTACAGACAGGCTGTGTGTGTGTGTGTGTGTGTGTGTGTGTGTGTATGGAGAGAGTGCACACACTAATAAATTGCCACTGATCCAGCTTAATCCAGCTCAACAGTTCACTCTTCTAACTGGCATGCTTTGTCCTTCTCCCCCTTTGTCTCTTTTTCTTTGTGAACTTGTCCATCGGTTTCTCCTTTTCTTCCTCTCTCCCACCCCTTCATTCTGTGCCCCTTGCTATGTCCCTAGCCCTTGGAAGCCCTCCCCCTCAGCACTGCTGACCCTGTGCGGGCAAAGTTGGCCCAGTATCTCATCAGCCGCTGGGCAAAGATTTTCTCCTCGGTGGTGTAGTTTCGCGAGGGATCCAGAGGGAGCCCAAAGATGAACTCGATCTCGTAGCCGTGGGGCACCCCCATCCAGAGGGGCCAGGAGAGCGTGGAGGCACGATGGTCAAAGGTGTAGGCATAGACCCGGGCACCCTGGGCAGCCAGCCGCCCAGCCAGCTGGGCCACGGGGCACACGACGTTGTGGTCGCCCACCACATCACTCAGGGCCTCCCGCAGGCGCGCTGGGTCCTCAGGGTGCAACCAGTCTGTGTAATGCAGGACCACAGCCTCGGCCGCCAGGTCACTTGCCTGGGGGACCCCGACCCGCACCCCAGCCAGGAACTGGGCCCGACTGATGAGAGACTCGTTGTCTTTGCTGAAGCCTGGGGCCCCGTAAACCAGAAAATAGGAGCCCTCATCCTTCACCACACCCACCAGCACCTGGGGTGGGGGGACAAGATGGAGGGATGGGCACAGACAGGCAGACAGACAGAGACAGGTGGACAGACAAAAAGCCAGAGAGATGAACAGTTACAGACCCAGAACCATGGAGGAAGAGTATGAAATTGGGGAAGGGACGAAAAGACAATATACCCGAAGTTGCTTTCCTCTCTGCCCCGTGGACCACCCTGGGATCTGGCCCCTTCAGGGAGGAAGGACTGGACATGAGGCCCAGAAGTCTGGACCTCTGGGAATGGGTCTGGAGGAGCCCTCATGCCTTGGTCCCTTGGGGGAGGGGTGGGGCCAGGGGATCAAGAGCAAGCAGCTCTACCCCCGCCAGCCACTAGTCACCTGCAGGCCGTGGAAGTCTCCAGCATTGATGAGGGCCTCGGGTGTGTCACTGAGGAAGTCTCCATCCACCACAGGCACAAAGGAAAATCGGAAGACATTTTCCTGAGGCAGCACGTGCCACTCGTGGTCCACCAGATCCTGAGCTGGCCTTGTCCGAAGGCAGGCTACTAGTTCTGTGTCATTGCCGCCAGTACCCCCTGGGGGGCAGCCCACAAGACGGGCCAGCAGTGTGGCCCTGCGACGGGCCTCTCCCACACCCACTGTGGCCCAGGGCCCATTGGGTGCACCGCTCTGCAGCACAGCCCTGTGGAACAGGCTCCGGCTGGGTGGGGATAGCAGGTGCATGCCCACTGAGGCGGCGCCTGCACTCTCCCCGAACAGCGTCACTGATGTTGGGTCCCCCCCAAAGGCTGCTACATTCTCCTGCACCCACTGCAGGGCTAGCCTCTGATCTAGCAGACCCACGTTGCCTGGGGCCTCTCTGCTTCCTGGCAGGGCTAAGAAGCCAAAGGCCCCCACCCGGTAGTTCATAGACACCAGTACAGTCCCCTCGGCCTGTGTCAGGAAGCGGCCATCATACACATCCAGGGAGGAGGCCCCGCTGTAGAAGCCACCCCCATAGATCCAGACAAGGACAGGGGTGGGAGATACAGGCCTAGGGTATGGTGTCCACACGTTGAGATAGAGGCAGTCCTCACTCAGCTCACGGTTGGGATTCCACATCTCGGTGCCCTCAAAACCAGGGTACAGGGTGTCCACATATTGGTAGCAGACACTCTGGAAGTCTGTGGCATCCAACACCCCTGACCAGGGCCGCTTGGGCTCGGGTGGCAGAAAGCGACGGGGGCCCGTGGGTGGTTCCGCAAAGGGAATGCCCAGAAAAGCAGCAACGGAGCCCCCAGGGGTCTTTAGGTGGATGCCCTTCAGCCGGCCCCCACGCACGGTCACCAGCAGCTCTGGGTCCTCTCGGCCCTCAGCCCCTACCCCTCCTCCCAGGAGGGAGAGGAGGAGGAGGAGTGGGGAGGCCAGGGAGGGCATGTGCAGGGGGCACCACGGAGGCCTCATGGCTGCCAGGGCAGGCAGGTGTCTGCTGGGAGAAAGAAAGGCAAAGGGTGAAGGCCAGAGGCAGCCAGGAGGGTGGAGATTAGGTAACATCTTGCCCCAGGGTTATCACTGAGCTGCAGAGGAGGTGGGGCAGGTTGGCCAAGGAGAGCCATGGCGGGAGGGAGACGGGCAGACACAAGGACAAGGCAGACAGGCAAGCGGCGACAGATCAGGCAGACACACACACTCAGACACACGCAGGGAACAGAGATGAGACCTGCCGCCACCCTCACCTCCTTCCCCTGGCTCTGTGGACTGGGCTGGGCCCAGTGCGGGCAGTGCAGGCACCAGAGGCCACAGTCCACGCATGACAGGGGCGCGGCCCTCACTGACAGCGCCGTTGGGGGAGCTTGCGGGTGTGAAGGCCCAGCCCAAGTCTCCTGGGTTGGCCAGGATAGGGGAGCCCTGTAGTGGGCACACAGGGTATGAGAGCCCCCAATCCTGGAGGACCCCAAATCCTGTCTACCCAGCTCCACCCTGCCTGTCTCATCTACTTTCTGGCAAGGTGAGCAAGCACCCATCGGTTCCCATCACCTGCGCACTCCCTCGCCTAGCCCCAGCCAACAGGTTCGTCAGCCCCGGTCCCCCAGGACTCGCGCCTCCATCCGCCCGATGCTGTGGTGCACGCCGCAGCCGGCGGGGGGCAGTAGAGACCGAGAAAAGGACAGCGTTCTCCGCCCGGAGCCTTGGAGCCGGGACCTTGGGGTGGGGGTCTGGGGGTTTTGCGGAGGGGCCTGAAGGGCGAGCCAGGACGCCTGTGTTCCCAGAGCTCCGGAGATCCCCGGCTGCAGGGGCGGGGGCGCTATTTTGGGGCAGCAGCTGCTGTGGTTCCGGCATCTCCAGCCAAGGGATCAAAATTCCCCGGGTCGGAACTCCCCCCTCTCTCGGCGGTCACCCCTCGCCCAGCACCCCCCGCCCTCCTCCCCCACCCGAGAAAGAGATGTGCTGGAGATTAACTAGGAAACCCGAGTGGGGCTAATTATAACTCAGGGCTTCCGCTGGGCCTCCCCTTCCCAAAAAACAAGAGATAGGGTCTCCGCGGGAAGGGAGGTCCTAGGTCTGGGAGGGGCCCTCGGCTGGGCACTGCGCAGGGGAGCTGGGGTCGCGGCCTTCAGGACGGGTGGGGGGCAGCCGGTGCAGGAACCTGCGCAGTTCGGGTTCCGCCCC